GATTTATTGATATTTTAAAGGATTTTAGGAAGGTTTACACGTGACCCACGGTCAAGATAAAGCTGTTAACATTTATATGTAAATATATCGCATACAAGGCAAAAAGTAAAAGTAATTAAAAAAGAAGAAAGTCGAGAAGGATGTCTTTGTTAACCCTGGTTAGAAAAAAAAATATATCAAAACATTGGGAATATTTAATATTAATTTGTTGGGGAAAAAAGGTAAACCAATAACTACCATCCAGTTCTGAAGAAGTTTGTTCTCTTCTGTTGATGTTATTTTCATTAACACTCGAATCCAATCCCGAGTGCAAGAGAATACATTTTGGATTCAATGTCAGTGTCCGGTTCCGATTTTATAGTCACCTCCAACATTTCGTTTTGGCAAACCATGTTGTAGATTGTAATGAATAAACAGCTCTTTATGTTGCTGTTTAATGTGAATATCAACTGTCATCACATAGTAATTAGCAACTAGCCCACACTGGATGTGGGATCACTGATTTAATTGCTTAACAAATCACCAAGCCATGCCTTGCTAAATCGGCTGGCTGGACTGAAGACGTTTTACTTCAGACCTCTCGGTGACCATGGTCAGTGTGAATCCTTGTAGCTATTGTTTATTCACTAAGATTGATCAAATTTCGTTTCTTTTCGTGTGACCGATTGAAATTCGTGAGATATCAATTTTTTCTGAAGCAATTTTCGTGAGTCCCACGCCAAAATCGTTAGATATGGCATGTATGCATGACTACCCTATTTTGCAGTGAATATACCCAAATCATATCTTTTGTACATATCAAGTAAAAAAGGATGACTTTATGATGGTTATATAAAAAAGAAATGTTCACATTGCATATATATGTACATTCCTTGCAATGGATCGAGGAATATCTCCATTTGTTTCTCTTTAACTAAAATTTATTAACCTTGTCCCAAAGTTTTCTTTCTTGCTTGACTGAGACTCTCTAAATAAAACCTTCCAGGCACACCATATGCATTAATCTCATAGGAAATGGGAAAATCCTATAAGATTCTATGACAAAAAAGTTACAGTGTAATACTGCACTGATGTTTAAAAAAAAGATGTTTTGGAGTTCATTGATCAATCAGTGTTCTCGGGATCCACTACCAGTTCTCGGGATCCACTACCAGCAAGTTTGAAGGCACATCAATATCATGCTTTTCCAATTTGGCAACTTGGTAAAAAATCTTGTGACACTCTTGTATTACAAATTCTTGTAACATACATTACATCCAAACATTATGCATTTAAGAGCATAAATTGATAGCATGGTAATTATTATGATTACAGATTGTTTATTAATCTATTTTCTGATACTCCAAAATGCAAAAAAACATGTGGAAAATACAAAAATATTATCACAACTGCATGTTAAATTTTATAACACATCACAAAATTATAAATTCAAGTGCAGAAGCAGGCTTAAAAGTCTAAAATATCAGAAAGTAGAAAACCAGGAATTTGTTAAACAATTCAATAGTACTGATAAGTTGTTATATTCAATGACTAGGTTTAGAGACCAAAATTGTAGCTATCCATGAAATAATAACATTTAATGATGAAGTACTGACTGTTTTTGTTGTCATCTCCACAGAAATGGTCACTTAATGACTCATCGTGACAAAAAACCATACGAGTGTAACGTTGACAGCTGCCAGAAGAGTTACTGTGATGCACGCTCTCTACGACGCCACCTGGAGAATCACCACAATCAGTCGCCCGAGCAGATCCAGACGGCCATCGCAGCAGTGGCCTCTAATGCGACAGCCATAATAGCCGCTGCTGCAGCCTCCAACACAGCTTCACTCAGAGCCACTACCACAGAAACACAAAGCATGCCCTCAACCTTATCAGTGATATCTGGAGCAAGTAACAGCCACTCCTCTCAGGACGGCAATGGCTGTTCCAGTCAGTATTCCACCCCCCAGTACAGTAACAACTCCACCCCAATGACCAGTCCCTCATACAGCAACAGTGGTAACCCTCAACAGCAGACAGCATTCTTCCAGTTTGACCAAGTGCCGTTGTCTGCACAGACTTCTCATGACATTATATTGCAGCAGGTTAGCATGCTTTAAAATGCATTAAATGGTTAAGCCTAATTAAATGTGCAAAACAGATTTGGTTAATGGTGGTTAATTTGTACCATATTACTAAATTATTGGTTTAGAATTAAACTGCTACTTCATCATCAGTTGCCAGCTTTGTCACTTATATACTGTACAACTGGTTTGGCCGGTGTATACTTAATGTAGGTTACGTTTTATCTGGAAAAAAAGAATTTTAGTTTCCTATCTTGCTCATTTAAGTGGTATTTGACCTGACAGTATCCAAGTTTTATGTTTATTCTTGGTTGTCTTGAAAATATCTTTATTTGTCCTAAGCCTCACCTCACAGATGATTCTCAGCGTCCCCAGCAGATCACCATCCAGCCCCGTGTAGTGGCACAGCACCAGTCTTCGGGGCTCCCAGAGGGGCTGCCAGTCGACTCTCAACAGGTGCAGCATTGGCAAGAACGGGTTCAACATATCCTTACTGCAGCAGCAAACCAAGCTGGGACAGAGCAACAGTCCAATTCTCACAGTCCACAGGGTACCATCGAGGACCAGTCGCCGAGCTATCTCCAGCAGGTCAGCCCCATCAGCCCTGTGATGAGCCACCCAGGGCCTACCAGTCCCCAGCGCATCTGGTCTTCAAACCCTCTCACCCCCAACACCATCACCAACGACAAAATCAACGGGTAGGTTAAACATATATTGTTGACTCACATATTGTATCCTCAAGCAGAGTTATGGTATATATAACACACCACAATAATAAATATACAGCAAATAAATTCTGGAAGGATGTGTGCACATGTAAAAAATGTGATTTTTTGTCTAATAATTAATTTTAAAAAAAGTATTAAAAAAAATCTAAATAGTTTCTCTTTTTCCAAGGCCTTTTACCTCTTAAAGAGCTCAAGTCTAATTATAACCCGGAGTATAGTTTGAAAACCTTTCAGATAACTACATGTACCTGAAACTTTGTCCACTTATCATCCTATC